CCGGTTTAGGTCCTCCATCCCTCCACACCCATTTACACATTCCTCTCCCAACTCAGGCAGGCACTGTCGTCAGAGACGCGGGGAACAAAACCGGGTTGAATTCATCTCAACACACCCCTCCGGGCCACGTGTCAAACAAGGGAGCAGTCCATCAAACAGTGGCCTTCTGGGTAAATGATGAACAAAGGTCAAAACTCCTCCGGCCAGTGCTAGCAGGGTGGAACTGAACCGTGTGCTTCTGGGAAGTGTGGTGTCAAGATGAGAGTCTTTGAGGACAGGAGTCATCACAGTTGAGAGGAAGAGGTTAAAGGTCTAGCTCTTTCTGCTAGCTGCATGTTCTTAAGTAAATAACCCCTCCCCTGCCCCGTCTCCATTTACCTACAAATTGGGCATCATAGTTGCCTGACTGAGTTGTCCTGAAATAATGTGAGCTGGTTACTTAGAATGGTTTTAGCACCTTAGATTTTCATCCTTTACTGTTATTTACATAGTGTGGGAGACTGTAGTATAAACATTCACATGTGATATATACACACACACATACTTTATATATATATACACACACGTGTGTGTGTGTCTACCAGCTACCGATTTATTTTAATGAGCGAGCTCCCAGAAAAGTTAAGTGATGGCACCTTAGTGGGAATCACTTCAATCAGCTAATCAGGTTGTTTTCTTCTTGGCACTCGGCTGAGATCAAGGACAGAATGGGATTTCTAATAGCAGGTTCTAGAAAAGGGAAACATTCCAGGGGTACCAACTTGTGGGTTCAACAAGAAGGCACTGTGTCCTTCCACCCAGGACCCTATACAGCAGCCCCATGCCCCACCCGGGGGGTCTTTTCCATTGCTGTTTTGCAGTCCTGGGATAGGGGCAGTCAGAAAGGTGCCTGCTCCCCAGACCAAAACCCCACCTGATTCTCTTTTCCTTTGTGTCCACTCGCTCCATCCCACAAGCTGCTCCTCCTGTGTGATTCTCTACAGCAGAACTTTCTTGTCCGCGTCCAGTGTCCAGTCTGCCTCTACCAACCATGTGACCTGTGACAATTGGCTTGACCTCTCTAAGATGGCTTCCTGCATAACAAAGTTATTAATGGTCCCATCAATGCAAAAATAACAACTCTGCTTTAAAGAAAATAGTAAGAGTCCTTTATCCTGAGGCAAGTGTGAGTGACCCTGTCCTCAGAACTTGGATTTGATTTGTGCCGTGGAAAAAGTGGCATGAACTTTAATAGCTAGAGAGGAGAGAAAGTCAAAACAATACATGGGAGAGATAACTTTGGTTGGGACAGCAAGTTAGGTGAGCTAGGGAGGTAGAAGCCCTTTTCTATAGTTTAAGAAAACATTTTTAGCTCTAGAGTTGGAGGTTGCTGACTTTAGCAATACATTCCAAGAGGTTTATCCAACAGTCTTAGTAAAAACAAGAGAATGTGTTTATAGAGAGATTGGCTCAGCAGTTAAAAGCACTGGATGCTCTCCCAGAGGATCCAGGTTCAGTTCTCAGCACCATCAGTGGCTCACAAACATCTGTAACTACAATTCCAGAGGATCCAACGCTCTCTTTTGGCCTTCATGGGCATCACACAAATGTAGTGCACATACATACAAGCAGACAAACACTTGATATAATTTTTTTTTTTGAGACAAGATTTCTCTGTAGCTATCCTGGAACTGGCTCTTGTACACCAGGCTGGCCTTGAACTCACAAAAACCCATCTGCCTCTGCCTCTCAAGTGCTGGAATTAAAGGCCTGTACCACTGCCTGACTAGATTTAGTCAGTGTTCTGCCTGCATGTACGCCTGCAGGCCAGAAGAGGGCACCAGATTTCATTCCGGATGGTTGTGAGCCACCATGTAGTTGCTGGGAATTGAACTCCAGACCTTTAGAAGAGCAGGCAGTGCTCTTAACCACTGAGCCTTCTCTCCAGTCCCCGAAATAAATATTTTTAAAAAAATAAATGGATACTTTTCTACAGGCACTAAACCTGGATAACTCTCCATCCCTCAATAATCCCAATCTTCTACTCCACCAAGGTCAAGCAGCAGAGTAGAGGCCAAGGAGCTTGTGGGGTCTTTAAGACAAATAGGTCCTCTGCAGATAATCTTCAGCTTCACAGTCTTTCCCCCAGGGGATTATAATCAGCACTAAGAGGCCACGTCTGCAAAGGGCTCTGCAGGACACCGGGCACTTAGCAAGCATTCAATAAATGGCTTTTAGTATGTCAGAGAGCACTCAATCTTGACGGAGGTATCTGCATGCCTAACCTGCTCCAGGAGCCCCAGAGCAGCAGCAAGCAAGTAAATGTCTCTGCCATTATCGAGTTGGTTAAGTAACAGTCGTTTAATCTCCTATCAAATTATACATGCCTCAAAAAGCTGCACTAGGACATACGGAAAAATAAATCCGTTTTTGAAATCTGAAATTTCAAAGTTGTAGAAACTCCTAGAATGGGTCATGTGGGTAGGTGATAATGGTAGGAGAAATCCTCAATAAGTGTTAGTTTGCAGTAATTGTACCAGGCATTCATACTGATCTCTAGTTAGTGTGTTCAAGAACGCCTTGTCCAGGCATGGTGAGATGACTTTCCAGGTAAAGGCGTTTGCCCCACAAGCCTGAGTTCAATCCATGGAATCCACACGAAAAGGAAAAGAGAGAAACTGACTCCCCTAAGCTTTCTTCTGATTTCCACACTCATGCCATGGCATGCATGCCCATATACATCAGGCACACATACATACACGTATAATGATAAGTAATAAATAATAATAATAATAATAATAATAATAATAATGAGGAATGCCTTTTTTCTCCAGTTATCACGTAAGTCTTCAAGGATACATCCTGTAGTACATTTTACAAAACCTTTAAACAAGCATCCTATGCCTTCCTTCTGTGGACTGTTACAGCCTCACAAGTCCTTGTTTGGTAAATATATGGATGGAAAAATGAATGAATGAATGAGTGAATGAACCACCAGAAAACATTCAGGCTGACTGCGGTCCCAACTTTTCTGTCTCCTTTAAACTTCCCACAACATGCAGACACACTCACTCAGTTATAAGGGGAAAAAAGGTAGGTTTTCCCCAAGTCACAACTCCAGTTGCTCAGTAGACATATGTAGAATGAAATTAGTAACACAAGCCGGGTGGTGGTGGCACACACCTTTAATCCCAGCACTCAGGGGGGAGAGAAGGGCAGATCTCTGTGAGTTCAAGGCCAGCCTAGTCTACAAGAGCTAGTTCCAGGGCAGGGACCAAAGCTATAGAGAAACCCTGTCTCAAAAAAAACACAAAAAAGAAAAGAAGGAAGGAAGGAAGGAAGGAAGAAAGAAAGACAGAAAGAAAAAAAGAAAGAAAGAAAGAAAGAAATCAGGAACACAAAATTCAGTCAGTTTGGGGTGGGGGGAGCTTTCATACTATGCAATTGTCCTGTGTGATCAAAATCATCTTTCCCTGCTGGCTCTCTGGAGTCACTGTGTGGTGACTCTGTAGATGAGAATCCACAAACTCTGCTTCTGGGAAGATGTTCATTCTCAGCATCCCTATAAATTTATGCTGGGCCTTTATTTATACAGAGCCAAGTGATCTAGCTGAGGGAAAGTAAATCAAGAACCAAGTGAACAAATATGATTACTTCACTTGGTTGAACTTTTCCTGGTTGCTTTTAAACAAAGCATCTTTGGCCAGCGCTTCTCAAAATAGCCTGAAGATGACCAAACAGAAATTAAATGGGAGACTGAGAGGGAAAAAAAACTCCAGAAGGTATTAGAGAAGGAGGATGGACCCTTCAGGGCTTTAGGGACCCGACACAGGAAGTCCCACCCAACCCGGGTCTCAGACGGGAACCAGACAGAGGGCAGTTCCTCCTTCACTCATATTGGCCAGCCTCTGCGGTCTGTTTGTCTCTGTCCCGTCTCTTAGAGCTCATGATGGCAATCATGGCTGCTTAGAAAAGACACCAAAAAATGCAGCAACCAGTGACACAAACTCTCACTGGGAGCCGTGATCCCCCAGAATGGCAGCCCACACACCTTAGAGCCTATAAGTAGGGGTGTATAGCTATTCAAAAAGCTGCATTGTCCCTGATGCATCTTGCTTACTAAGTTGGGTTATATAAACATGCAAAAATAAAATATAAATATGTTACCATATAATTTGCCTTAATCCCGGATGCTTTCTGTTACTCACGGGAAGCTCTGGAGGTCGATTCCATGCGCACAGGCATTAGGTCACATCACCTAGCTGAGGGATCCTCTGGGTCCAGCCTTCTCCCACCTCTTAGAGGTTGGGACAAAGTGTTGGGGGGCGGGGGGTCTTGTTCTCATTGATGTCTTACAATGTTTCCAAGCTTTACAGTCTGAAGTCACAGAAAATGTTGCTTTGGAGTCACGTTTATATAAAATGTGTTCTTAGCTTATTTTCTTAGCACATGGTGAGCTCTCTGCTGGGCAGAGGGCTTCAGAGAGGCAGTTTTGGCACAAGGCTCGCATTGGGCAGCCACCCAAACTCTGTTACTAACAGCTGTGCATCTATGGGATGAGATGTATCTATGCGCATACCACTTAACTCCCGGAGCACCCCTGAGGTTGAATCTCAGGTTTGACTGCCAAAACCTTGGTACAACTGGGGTGTACTTATTTTAAGATGAATGTCCATGAGCTCCTATCCGGGGACTCTGAATCACTAGGTCTAGGGGGTATTCAGAAATGTACGTCTTTAACGAATATCCCACTGTGAGCCACTCTGAGAATCACTGCACTAACTAATCTTGAAGACCTCTCGTAGCTCTAGCGCTCTGTCCCTTCCTTATCAATCAACCCCAGACATCCTGGCATACCCTCTGTGCCTGTTAGCCCTCTGGTACTGATGGCATCCACCGTGGGAAGCCAGGAAGGTGCATTGGCATCTATGATGAGCATCTTAGGGAAGGCAAGAGAGTTAACTGGGTTATTGTTCCTTCCTGGGGAAAACACTAACATCCTTCTTGTCTCTAATGGCCAGGTGACAGGTGGAGTCTGGAACTTCAGCCGCATTTGCTGTGATGTTTTTGTCACCCTGGATGTCATGATGTGTACAGCCAGCATCCTGAACCTCTGTGCCATCAGCATAGACAGGTAAGGCTGGGAGTCCCCTTCCAGGCTTAGGAGACATGGGGCCATAAAATGGTACAGAAGGTACTCATTTGAGATATTGGTGTCACTTTCAAGGGAACTTGCCACTGACGCATTTTCTTTTTTTGTTTTTTCTTTTAAAATATGGTTTGCACATGGGGAGGAAAAGGACTTGTGACAGGAAATAATTTCCCTATAAGGTTTATTGGGCTTCTTACTCTTCCAGTCAACCTACTCCTCCCTCCGCCCTGCATCCCGGATCTGGGGGTTGTCTTCCCATTATCTTTTTAGGCTTTTGTGATTCCTAATTGAAAGGAAAAGGGAGAGAATGGAAAAAGACATAAAGTGGGTTGATTAGGAAATCCTGTAGTTGCTGATGAAGGCTAGGGAGGTCTCAGAGAGAGACAGAGCAGACAGGCGGACGTGGCACACGCCTTTAATCCCAGCACTCGGGAGGCAGAGGCAGGCGGATCTCTGTGAGAGACAGAGCAGATTGAGATCTCTAGTCAGCATTTCCAAGTTATTGTTACCTTCAGAGAAAGAATTCATAGAAAACAAAGGAAGGAATAAGGAGAAAGTGTCATTTCAGGGCAAAAGTACACAAGATGGAGTGTTGTCTCTACTATACTTTATAATTAATACCCAATGATAGGAGGGAGAGAGTGTGGACTCCTCAAGAGAATAATGCAGCCTGCCTGAGGTCTAGGATAGCATCTTATGGGAAAATTCTCAAGTCGGGGTGGGGGGAGTTATTATTGAGTCAAAGTTGAGAAACAAGATTTATTCCAAATTGGTTTCTTTCCCCTTTTCTGTTCTTGTGTGGGGCTTTGGGATATGCTATGGTATCAGATGCATGATGGGAAGTGGAGACCTTTGTGAAGGTAATGATGTGGAGATAGCATCATGGCAAAGCAAAGTGAAGCCATCTCAGTTGGCTATGCTGGTCTTGGGCAGTCATGACGCATCTCGTCCTACACTGTGTGCAGACTTTCATGCTCTCCTGCACCAACCTCTAGCTACTAAGTATCTGGCCTCTTTCTTTTTGGTTTTCATTATACTATCCCTGCCTATCTCAGTCTATTGATGGGTTGGTTGGTTGGTTGGTTGGTTGGTTTTGGAAAGGAGAGTGAAAGGGGAAAGAAAAAGGGTAAGAGAGTCAAGCATGGCTGTATTTCCCAGAAGAGAGAGAAGAAGGGATGAAAAAAAGGCAACTTTAGAAGCCATGTGATCTGCACATGTCCCTTATAGAGTTTTTAAAAAGAGCAGGTTGAGACTAGAGAGGTGGCTCAGTTGCTAAGAGCACTCCTGCCCTTTCAAAGGACAGGAGTTCAGTTCCCAGCACTCACATTGGGCAGATCACACTCCAGGTTCACGGGAAGTCTCATGCTCTCTTCTGGCTTCCTCAGGCGCGCGCACACACACACATGCACACACACATGCATGCTCACATGCACGCACACACACACAATTCCCAGTGCATAAGGAAGCATAATTATATCAAAACTCAACCCAGGGCACATGTCATTTCTTCCAAGATGGATTCTGAAGATAACCTGTACTATATTAAGCGTCTGGCCTGGTCTCAGTCATACAGACGGCATAGAGGGTATTTGGGCTATCAGCTACCTCTGGGCCTGGTTGTAGGAGCTTTGGGGAGAGCCTGGCTATACAGATAGTGTAAAGGTCGTTTAGACTGCCCTTTGCGAGAATCACCATCTTGAGCTAAATGACTATTCATTAACTCATTTCATCTTCCCAACTCCAAGGTGCTATTACTACCTTCACATCCGCATACCAGATAATCTGTTAGAGTCCTACAGCTCGAATGTGGCCATGTCAGAGTTTGAACTCCCGTCTACACGACTCCAAATGAGCCACCCTAAGTTTAGTTGTGAACCTCACCAGGTTTCCAGCTGTACCCCTCTTTCCTCCCTCAATTCTAAACAGCATATTGCCTTCACTAATGATCTCTCACTGGTGCCATCCCTATCCTTAAATCTTGGATTTTCTTTGACCTGTATCTCTTCTACCTACCGCTCTCAACCAATGTACACTTACCAACTCTATTTTCATGACTTTTTTTTCTAATTGGCCTCTGTTTGTCCTTCCTTGTCGCCCTTGCTTACCTGAGGTTCCCGTGACCTCTCACCGATCTTTCACAGCTCTCTGCCTGGCCCTTCAAACCCTCTGGAGAACCCACCAAAAGGAGAGCTCTGAGCGTCTCTTTGATCTATACAAGGATTCAACATGGCCACCTCCACTCTCAAGTAATCCACATCCACTTTTGCTTTCTTAATTTTTTTTAAGGTGACTTTTCTGTGATTGTGACTTTGCCTGCACGTGTAGCTATGTGGCATGTTCATGAAGTGCCCCAGCAGGCCAGAAGAGGGCATGGGACCTCCAAGGCCCTTCTTCCTCCATTAACTGACTTGATTGTATGCAAATCTTGTGGGGTAACTGATATGTGAGTCTCTGTGAGCAGCAGCCACACCGGGCCTAGAGGAGAGCATTTCCCAGCCCTCCTCCAGTCCTCCAGCCCCTACATTCTTTCTGCCTCCTCTTCTCCAGTGTTCTCTGGGCCTTAAGGTAGGGATACAGATGTCCCACCCACAGCCGAGGACTCATAGCTATTAGTTTTCAACACTTTACTCAGGAATGGGTCCCTGCACTAACCACTACTTCTCTGACTAAGATTGAAAGCAACACTGATCTAAGGATGCAGACGTACATCTTTAGAGGGTAGTTTGACAACATGACCACTAAGAAAAACAACGTTGAGGCAGGCCTAGGGGCACATGCCTTTAATCCCAGCACTTGGGAGGCAGAGGGAAGCAGATTTCTGTGAGTCTGAGGGCATCCCGGCCTACATAGTAAAGGTGTTTTATTTGTGGGAGCAACATTGGCTGCCTGAAGCCAGGGACCATTGAGTTCGGCTTAGTATTCTTGATCCAAGCTCTGTAATTGGCATGGTAGGGAAAACCAGAGGTAGTAAAGACCTAGTCCCAGTATAAGTGTTCAGGCTAAGCTGCTAAAGATAATACTTAGGCAAACCAACACTTTGATGTCTCTACAACATGAACTAAATGTCCAGAAATTATGCAATAGACTTGTATGTTAGAGCTAAAAAAAAAATACTATAAAAACTCTTACCACTTATTTTTTAACAGTACTGTGGAAAAATAACTCACATGGTATACAATTAATCCATTTAAAGTATACCAAAACATATTAAATTGTATACGAATAATGGGTTTGCCTTAGTAAGACAAGATAGAAAGACAGGGGAAATTAAGAAGACACAAAATTGAAAGAGTCCCCTTCTTCTTGAATTCATTGGTTAAATTCTCAGCAGCTTAGAGTCAAGAATTTTGGCATACCTTTGCCATGAAGATTGCCTACTGGCTTAGTTGGTGTTTCTATCCTTACAATAAAACATCACAACCAAAAACTGCTTCGAGAGAAAGGGGTTGATTTCACCTTATACTTCCAGGTAGCAGTTCATCACTGAGAGAAGTCAGAGCAAGAACTCAAATGGGGCAGGAATCTGGGGCAGGATCTGAAGCAGAACCAGGGAGGATGCTGCTACTGGCCCACTCCTGGATTGCTCGGCCTGCTTTCTCCTTTTCTTTAAAAAAAAAAAATATTTTTATTAAGTTTTTACAATTTCATTAATTAGTTCATTTGTGTGTATGTGTGTGACTCAAATGGAGAGCAGTGAACAACCCTCCATGTGGGTTCTAAAGAAGGGATTCAGGTTGTCAGGCTTGGCAGCAAAAGCCTTTACCCACTGAGCCATCTTGCCAGCCTTCTCTTTTAAAAACAGATTTTGAAATTTCTTTTTTAAAAAAAATATTTATTATGTATACAATATTCTGTCTTCGTGTACGCCTGCAGGCCAGAAGAGGGCACCAGATCTCATTACAGATGGTTGTGAGCCACCATGTGGTTGCCAGGAATCAAACTCAGGACCTTTAGAAGAGCAGACAATGCTCTTAACCGCTGAGCCATCTCTCCAGCCCCTTAAAATTTCTTTTAATGCATAAAGATATCTTGCCTGCATGTTTGTCTGAGCACCACTGTGTGTGTGTGTGTGTGTGTGTGCACAGTGCCCTTGAAGGTCACAAAAGGGAATCATATCTATCAGAACTGAAGTTATAGACTGTTGTGAACTGCTGTGTGGGTGCTAGGAATTGAGCCCAAATCCTCTAAAAGAGCAATCAGCATTCTTAACCACTAAGCCCTCCAAAGATGCTTTCTTACAGCACCCAGGACATCAACCCAGGGGGGCACCTCCCACAATGTCTGGGTTCTCTCACATCAACCACAATGTGAGACAGTAACCCCACAGACTGGCCTACAGGACAGTTGTCTCATGGAAGCATTTTCTCGATTAAGATTCTCTCTTCCCAGGTAAGTCTAAGTTGACAAAAACCAGCCAGCACACCTACGTAGAGATAATAATATTCCTTTTTTATAGTGCTATTTCAAATAAGAATGCTAAAGTAATAATAACCTACACTTTAAACCAAACAAAACATATAAGACCTTGGAGATTAACCTTATTCCCTCCCCAGGTATTACTGAGAATCTTTAAACAAAATCATAAATCTGTTTGCAGTCAAGATGTATTTCATAACTCCCTTGTAACTTATTATTATAAGAACCCCTTTGACCTTTCTAACCTATTGTATCAGTTCCTTCTCTTGTTGCTATGGCAAAATACCAGACAAGAACACCTTAAGGAAGGTTTATTTTGGTTCACAATCTGAGGGTACAGTCTATCATGTCAGAGAAGGCACTACAGCAGGAGATTGAGGTGGCTAGTCACATCGCACACACAACTAGGAAGCAAAAACAGATGAATGGTGGTACGCAGCTGATTTCCTTTTGTTTCCCCATTTTATTCAATCCAGTACCCCAGGTCCCGGGGATAGTGCAGCCCATAGTCAATGTAAGTTTTCCCTCTCTGGAAACACCTTCCCGACATGCTCAGGGGTATGCCT